CAAATCCAGGAATTTCCCCCCCTGGAATCTCCCAAATCGATGCAGTTTTTCTCTCTCTGGCCCGTTTTCCCTCCAGAATCACCCGTTTCCGGGTGTTTCCCCCCAGAATCGCCTGTTTCCCGGTGTTTTCCGCCCAGAATCGCCCATTTCCGGGTGTTTCCCCCCCAGAATCGCCCATTTCCGGGTGTTTCCCCCCCAGAATTTCCCGTTTCCGGGTGTTTCCCCCCCAGAATCGCCCGTTTCCGGGTGTTTTCCCCCCAGAATCGCCCGTTTCCGGGTGTTTTCCCCCCAGAATCGCCCGTTTCCCCTCAGAATCGCCCATTTCCAGGTGTTTTCCCCCCAGAATCGCCCGTTTCCCCTCCGTTTCCCCCCAGAATCGCCCGTTTCCTGGTGTTTCCCGCCCAGAACTGCCCGTTTCCGGGTGTTTTTCCCTTAGAATCACCCATTTCCCCCCCGTTTCTGCTCAGAATCGCCCATTTCCGGGTGTTTTCCCCCCAGAATCGCCCGTTTCCCCTCAGAACCGCCCATTTCCGGGTGTTTTCCCCCCAGAATCGCCCGTTTCCCCTCAGAACCGCCCGTTTCCGGGTGTTTTTCCCCTAGAATCGCCCATTTCCCCCCCGTTTCTGCTCAGAATCGCCCATTTCCGGGTGTTTTCCCCCCAGAATCGCCCGTTTCCCCCCAGAATTTCCGGTTTCCGGGTGTTTCCCCCCCAGAATTTCCCGTTTCCGGGTGTTTCCCGCCCCCTCCCACTCCGGTTTCCCGCAGACTTCCCCCGGAAGCGGAAGCGGACCCGCTGGAACCAGGACTCCCTGGACCAGAAGACGGTGATCCCGGGGATGCCCACGGTGATCCCGCCCGGCCTGACCCGCGAGCAGGAGCGCGCCTACATCGGTACCGCCTTTTGGGGCCGAATCGCGCCGGTTTGGGGGCGTTAACGGAGCCGCGGGGTGGGGGGAAAGGGGCATCTTTTGGGGTGAAATGTCAGGTTTTGGGGGCAAAGCTGTTATATTTTGAGGTGAAGTGTTTGTTTTTTAAGGTGAGATATTTGGGTTTTGAGGTGAAATGTGGGGTTTTTTGAGGTGAAATGTGTGTTTTTCGAGGTGAAATGTGTGTTTTTTAAGATAAAGTGCATTTTTATAAGGTGAAATGTGTTTTTTTAAGGTGAAAATGCATTATTTTCAAGGTAAAATGTGCTTTTTTTCCCAAGGGAAAATGTGAATTTTCAGGTAATAATGTCGTTTATTCCAGGTAAAATTGTGATGTTTTAGGTAAACTTGTGACTTTTTAGGTGCAAATCCCATTTTCTCAAGTGCAACTGTAAGTTTCTCGGGTTAAAATGTCACGTTTTGGGGTAAAAATGTCATTTTTTCCAGGTAAAAATGGTTGTTTTTTAGGTAAATCAGTGATTTTAGGCACATGTGTTACTTTCTCAGGTAAAAAAAGTGATTTTTGTCTGGTAAAAATGTCATTTTTTTTTAGGTAACAATTTCACTTTTTAGCCAACAATGTCACTTTTTAGATAAAATTGTCATTTTCTGGGGTAAAAATGTGATTTTTTTTTAAGGTAACAATGTGCTTTTTTTAAGGTATTAACCCACTTTTTTGGTAAAAATGTGGGGTTTTGAGGTGAAAACGTTTGGTTTTAGGTGCTTTTTGGGGTCCTAATGTGGTTTTTTTAGGTGATGTTTCCTTGGGGTGACTGGTTTATTCAGTCACCCCTTTGAGGTAAAACGCCTGAATTTGGTTAAATTGTGCTCTAGGAGTTGATATTTTTAGTAACAACGTTGGGGATTTTCCAGCAATGCCAAATTTACCCATTTTTAATTGCTGTAATTTTGGTAATAACGTGTTCCTGTTGACAAAAACCTCTGGTTTGACAGCAAAAATGTCTGGTTTTGGTGAAAATCTCTGCTTTTGGTGATAACACTTGATTTTGGGGATGATAATGTTTGATTTTTAGGATGAAAATACTTGTTTTTGGGATATTAATGCCTGATTTTACAGCAACGTTGTGGTTTAGCCTGATGTTGGATTTGGGGACAAAAGTGTCGGATCTGGGGACAAAAGTGTTTGATTTTAGGCTATGAATGTGATTTTAGGGCAATACTTGATTTTGGCTCAATAACGTGTGATTTTTAGAGCAACAATCTGTGATTTCAGGGCAATAACGTTTGATTTTAGAACAGTATTTTACCTCAGGTAAATAATCCTTCATTTTGGTACAAAAACTGGTGATTTTGGGGTGTTAACGTCTTGTTTTAGAACAGCATGTTACTTTAGGACAGTAATGTTTGATTTTTAGGGCAACGTTTGATTTTGGGGGACAATAATGCCTGATTTTAGCCGAAGAATGCCTGATTTTGGGACATTTAACGTTTGATTTTAGAACAATATGTTAAATATCTTAAATTAATGAACATTTGGTTTTAGGGTGATAATTTTTGCCTTTAAGACGTTGATGTTTTGGTGCTGTAGGATGATGATGTTTGATTTGAGGACAGTAACTTTTGATGTTGAGAGGATAACGTGTGGTTTTTTTGGGTCGAAAATGCCCGATTTTGGGACGATTGTTCCTATTCCTGACCATAAAAAAACCCCCCACCTTCTTCCTGCCCCAACACCTGGTCCCCAACACCCGCAGCTCCGGGTGTTTGCGGCTGCCGAGGTGTGGGCAGGAACGCTCAGGTGGGGTCGGGCTGTGTTGGTTTTGGGTGCAAAAGTCCCTTTTTTGGTAACTCTGTCTTTTCTCCACCTCTGTCCTAACGGGGTTTCTTCCAGTGCAACTGCAGATCGAAGACCTGACTCGCAAACTGCGCACGGGAGACCTGGGCATCCCCCCTAACCCTGAGGACAGGTTGGGACCCTCCCCCATCCGCCCCCCACCCGCTTTTTTGGGGCGATTTCTGGCCTTTCGATCGTTCTGCTCCTTATTTCATCACCCGCAGCTTTTCTCCCCAATTCTGGGCTCTTCTCTCCCTCCCCCACCCCCATTTTCTCCTCTTTTCACCCCAATTCGGTTCCATTTGGCTCCAGGAGGGCAAATTCCACCCTTTTCCTTCCCCCCAAAAAAAAGGATCAAATCCTTCCCCTTTTTTTGCCTCTTTTCACCCCATTTTCCCCCGGCGGGGCAGGGAGGGGCCCTCACCCTGCGGTGGGGGGGAGG